TTAGTGTAGCAGTTTCCCGTTCGGTGAATATTTATTTGTTTTCAATGAATTGGGATAAATGGCTGCAATAAATTATTCGCCATTTTTGGTAATTACTTAAACAATGGAAACCACATTTTAGCAATTTTTTCTATCAAAGAATATCTATCTATTTTAAGTCAACGAAACACATATATTTAGTATTTGTATTATGTGTTTAGTTATTAAAGAAAAATAGATCAAAAGTCACTAATTTAAAAATTAATTATGCAAAGATACTTAAGGACTAAAATCCTTAAAGCAGTGCAATATATCTTTCACTGTATATAAATATCTTTCATCTTTTATATAGTTGAAAATAAGTTATATACAGCTAGACAAGAGTTACATTGTTAAAAAATAACTTGTGCAGGAGTCCTTAACCAAATACCGGGTACATTTGTATAATTAATTTTATAATCAAGATTTTGTGACCAATTTTCCAGTTCCTTCGTCATTATTCTAACACATTGAGATATTTAGAGCCTGATTTGAATCTAAATCAGTTGTTCTTCTAAAAAGATAATGTCAATGCAAAATACTACCTCCTGTCCTAATTATAAGAACCAGTTGATTAATTTGATAAGATTAAAGAAGTAAGTTGAGTTAGTTATTTATCCTAAATAGGTGTTGTCTTTCCTAAAATATCATTACTAATAAAGTGTATTGACTAGAATTATAATTATTAGAAAGATTATCTTAAAAAAATTGAGTTAATATGAGAAACAAAATAAATTAAAATATTATATTTAAGACTAAAATAAAAATCAAACAATTTTGATATTATATTAAAAACAGGAGATAGTAATAATTATCAAAGATTATGTGCAGAGTTGCATTGGTGGGAGCAATGCACATGAAAATAAGGAGGGGAAGTCAATGAAGTACGGAGAAAAAGCATCGGATGCTCTGTCTACCACTGATCTTTTATTATATATTCTTCTTTATTTTTCATGGTGGACCTATATTCCCTCATCCCCGATTTTCTTCCTTCTTTTCATCCCATTATCATCAAGCCAGCTAATCCTTCGGTTTTTTTTTTTGAAAAAAAAAAAGAAGAACACCTTTTGAATCCTTTTTTTAATCTCAAAGTATGTTTTGGTTCCACTTTTTTAAAACCCAATTTCGAGTTACTATTCTATTTTACAAAAAGCTAGTTTTGAGTCATCTAAAACAGATAACAAAATTGAATTTGTGAAAATTACTCCTTTCATGTTTTTTATAAGGTTAATAAAGAATTTTTTTAAATCATATTTATAAGTTATTTCGTTACATTTTTAACATGAATCATTTCTTTGCAAAGTAATGTATATTAAATCAAAATAAAATTAAAAAATTATTAAAATTTAATAAAGAATTAATAAAATTTAAAGTTTTTCTTGGTTTTATTAAGACATATTAGAAATAACTTATACTTTTCTGGTTTTATCTATGAATCAATCCTAACATGATTCACATAAACAAACAAAAAAAAAACTTAGGTTACATCTGGTATGAAGTATTAAAAATAAAGAGTGAGAATTAAAATTGAGACTAAAAAAACTATTAAAGAGTGTACAGTATGAGTAATTTATTATAACATGAGAATAGAAAATCCCATATAAATGGTATTGAGGAATTCTAAGTAATAAGCAACCACTCATTCTAAACACTCCTTTAATATATTTTTTCAATTTCAACCCCAAATCTTACCTTTATTTTCAATGATTCATGTCAAATGAAAATTTAAAGTTCATTAGCTTGACTTTTAAAATTCAACAACTTTATTTCTATTTAATATATGTTAGTCAGAGCACATCATATGCTATGTGCGCTAGCAGAAGTTGTGTTGACTCTCTCATAATAGAGTGAGTTTTATATTTAGTAACGAAGAGGTATAATAGTGGACTCCATGCTTGTTCATTAGCTGTGATTCACTTCGCTTCTAAATAAGCGTGGGACCTCATTGATGGGCGGCTTGGCCGCCTTCTTCTCCTTGTTACCTTGCTCATATGATATTACAACACTGCATCCAAAGCCTTCGTACTTTTTAATATTAATAATTATATGTTTCTGCACTATTTGCCGGTGCACTCATTATTTGACTGCACGTGCTCTGCACGTGGCCCAGCCCCCACTTGACGGCGGACGGTATTCAACTTTGCTAGCAGCTGGGCTGATCTACCAATAACAACTTAAAAACATGGGTTGCTGTTTTGGAATTACCAGACATTGGTTCTCTTTTTTTCTTTTTCGGTAAAACATATGCTAAGAAAACTAATGGCCCTTATCGTTATGTATTTATAACTAGTCACATAGTATCTGGTGATGTTTAAACATACAAGAGTGTTTTCGAAGTTCAAAGTGAACAAGTTCCCAAATGTTCAAGCTCCACGGCCATAGTTGTTGAGATCTTTTTTTTTTTTCCTGTGCTTCTTGTTTTGATTAGTTGCTTGGGAATTGAGATGGGAGCATCACCATGTTCTAAACGTGGGCTGTTTTACTTAACTGTCGTGAAACTAGCTAAACACAACACCACCACTTGGCACCATGTGCTTAATTAACTGCAAAAACGAAACACGACAATGATGCCTCCAACAAACAGAATGTGAGCTCCTGGATTTTTAAGTGGCAAAGAAAGGGACCAACCATCTTACTTAACTTCTTGGCATGGATCACCATATTCCACATGGCACTTTTACTTGTCCTCCTGTATGTTTGGATAAAATCAAAACCATAGTTTCAAAAGTGCTTTTACGGTATACGAAGTAAATATGTAGAAGAGTTTGTTTCGATTTACAGAAAAGTACTTTTGAAAAGTGATTCTTAATGTATCCAAACACCTCCTTGGACAATTTTTTCTCTCCTTCTAACAATTATAGAATAGGTACATGCCTTCTGTTCATTATGGTAGGTGCAGTATATATAGAATACGTGCATGCTTTTTATATCAAAGTAGCACATGATTATTTGTTTTAGAAAACTTGCTTCACATATAATGCCTTTATCCATGGATTAATTGATTCGATGTTTGATCCTAAGCATAAGAGTCAGTTAAAGATTCAATTTACTCATAAACATAAGACCCAAATTTGACTCACATTTAAAAGTCCAACAATTTCTGGTCATACACACAAGTTTTGGGAGAAACGATGCCGTCGGGTGCACGAGACCTTATTCTTGGACATAACTCCACATGGAATAGCCACGAGCCATGAGACCAATCTTTGGTTACTCCTTAACTGGGGCCACTCTTGTTCTTGCGTCGATGGAAAACCCATACCTCCAGGAACACAAGCACAATCCTTAGATCCAGTGCTCTTCATTTCTTCGATCTGGTCGTCCAAAACCAAAGCTTGTAGGATCTCTTCCAAATGACGTGATGTGAACTCGAAAGTCAAAACTAAAGGTCATAATCTTTTTAATCCAGTCCAGAATTCCTTCAATTGTGGCAACTTTATGCTCAGAAATGTGCTTCAGGCAAATCTTCTTTTTTAGGAGCCTGAACTCTTCATCAAGATTCCAATCGTCATGCCTATCCCAACCTCCTATGGTGTTCTGGGACGGTTCGAAGTTCGAACGCATGCCATGTAGTGCTTCTTTGCTTTGTTTTGGCAATTTACAACCTTCTTTGTGAGCTACTCCTCTTGAACATAAGACTTAATTAAATAGTTTGAGTGGATTAAGAATGTTAGTTAAATAAGTTAATATGATATTTCTTTTTAAAACACTTACTTTCACTCTTCTTCTACTTGATTATTGTATAGGGTTAATTTAACAAAAAATTGATAAACATGCGAAATATGTTTTACATTTGGAATCAAATTAACTTTTCAATTAGGTCTTATACTAGGGACTATCGAAGGAGTATGTATTAATATTAATACATTGCTATTCACGTAGACATATCTAAAATGATCAGTTCCTGTAAAAAGTGAACACCCGTTTCAGAAGCTAGCTACAGTGAACCAAGTCTTTAGGCTAGAGTTCAGAAAAAAGTGAGAAAGTAGAAAAATAATAGTACTATTACTTAATATAAGACCTAGTTGATAAGCAAATTTAGACAAATTCCCAATCTGATGTTTATTTTTAATTTTCCAGACTACGAACACTAGTTATTAATCAAAAGATGGTACCATCACTTTTACAATTTCTCTGTTTTTGAACAATGCTACCACTACATGAGAAATTACCTCTGCTACAGGAAGGCTTCAGGGTGTAGACTGAGGGAAGCAACAGCACGAACACGAGCGAAAGAAGCAGAGGTTCGCGAGGTTCGGGACTGTCGAGGGCCAATGATCCCAATAAAAAAACACACACGTTTGTCACTTGGGCTATAAGGCCCTGTGTATTACTTGAGATAAAGGCTCTGACAAACCCTAAAAACACACACACACACACACGTTAAAGAATTTATTTGACCATCTAAATTTACATCAAATTTTAGTATAATATTTAATTTTTTTTAAAAAAATATTTTTAGTTCTTTAATTTTCATACCACTAGTCTCACTTAACAAATGTTGACTTTGTAATTAAATGCGGACAAAACACACATTAAATTTTATTTCTTTAATATAATCATTTTCATTATATCCTTTATTTATTAGAGTATAAATAGTTTTCTTTTTCTTTTTTTGTAAAAGGTATGTATATTAAATAGGAATAAAGTTAAAAAATTGTTATATTTTAATAAGGAGTTAACTCACTTTAAAATTTTCTTAATTTGGGTGAAACATATTAAAAATGTTTTATAAATAGAATCAGAAGAGTATGTGTGATGTATCACACGTTTTCTCTAAAGGCCCTTATGGACGCAAAATCTAAAACAAAGAATTCAAATGCAAAAATCATTAGTAATCGTTTTGTTCGTCCCTGCAAGAAACTTGATGTTTTTAAGCATACTGAAATGAAAAAATGTTGCAGATCTCCAACTTGTGCTAGTTTGCTAAAATGCATTAGAGCTTTGAGAGGCTGCGGCTTGACTAGTTTGAAACATCTAGAGAAAATTTAAGATAAAATGAATGATAAATATTTTATATGCCTCTCCAACACTGAGAAACCGTAAGGTCACAGTATTTGTACAGCAATTTCACATAAGAAAGAAGTTAGCTGGCTTCAGATCTTTAGGATGGCAAATCATACCGTTGGAGAGCAATACAACATCTATCATTGTACATAAGTGAATGAGGAATTCAATTGATCAAAACTGGAGATCATGTGCAGGCTGATTTACTACATCATTCATTTCGTACATTTCTGCTCTTCTGGAAGATTTGTTGAAGACTGTCCTTATCCGTTATTCAGCCGTCCTGACTAAAATTGGAAGGGGAAAACGACAATCATTGGGTGAACCAACCATGCAACATTAAAATGAGCGCTGAGAGTGGGGCGACGACACAAATAATTATAGTGGGTAAGAGTTGGAATGGGGTCCATCCTGGATTTGAATTCGTTTGGGAAAACAAAAACTTCACCCCAAAAAGAGCAAAGATAAGCAAGTGAGACAATAATTAAACTTACTATTGCTTCTTCCACATTAAAACTTGCTGAAGAGTCAACTGAAAATCCCAACTCCGCCATTAGCTTTTCCAAGCGATTCACATTAGTCAAATAAAGATAACCAACCTAGTTCAATGAATTTATGAGTTAAGATAAGGCTAAAAACAGGTTTAAAATTTGAATACAGAACTTTATTTTCAGATCTTCCTAACAGTTATCTGACTCAATCACAAATGAACAATATTTGAAGATAGACATTATAAACACAAAAACCAACTGAAACTTCAAAACATATGTGACAAATAGCCCTTAAACATGCTCCTTGCAACAATAAAGCACAACTACATTATCCTGTAAGCTTTCAAAAGAGAAAAATGGAGTAGGATGTGTATGCCTATGAACTATTAATTAGGTTTTACATTTAACACAAACCAACGGGCTAATATGAATATCATGTGCTATAGCCAATGTTATTTTGGTTAACAAACTAGAAGGAAGAACTATACAAAGTAGAACAGATGTATTCTCAAGAAGTCAAAATTTGAAGACTAACCAATGTTTCCAGTGAAGATGCTCTGTTATACACAGCCGCACCAGCACGCTTTTTCGTCCGTGTTTTGCTTGAATTAATGTTCTTTCCCCATCGAAGCACATCCCTGCAATAGAGATGGCTAAAAGCTTTAAGCCAAATATACAAACTTTTGCAAATTAAGTTCTACCAAGAGAATCAGAGGACCTTACGCAAACATAACGCACATGGTTGAAAGGTAGAATAATGTTGACCAATACAAGAAAAAAGAAAGGTAGGACAATGAATGGAAGCTTAAAATTGAGGAACAAGACAGAATAAAAGTGCAGAATGTAATACCATATTTATAGAGAAGGAAACCTTTTTAAAATACATAACCAAGTGATAAATATCGTAGAGACCTAAAGGCATATTGTATTTCAAGAATCACAAGAGGAAACATCATAAGTAGAATTTATAAAAGCAGAAAAATGGTGAGAGAGAGAGATAACATGCTCAGAATAACATCTAACCTCTCTTGTTCTGATAAGAAGTTGCTGTGGAGAAGTTTCTGGAGCAATGCATCCTGAATTGCAGCAAATGGGAATTACTTGTCATATGTCATATCAGAAATACGTGTTCTTAATAACCAGTAGTGATCAATCACAAGAAACCAGTAGAACATCATCAGCCCACTAAAGCCAAATTTCATAAAGTTTTGCTTCAATCAATCAGCGCTCTGTTGTCTCATTTCCACGTTCAAATATTCTCAATCAATAAAATGAGTAGAAAAGAAAATTAAACTCTGTATTTTGACAGGTATCATACTTGAGCCTCACAACGCACAAGTGCCATCACACGATCGTTGTACTCTTCAATGCTTAGGGGAGGAAATAAAAAGTGCCTGCGAGCATAAAGCTGCATGTTTCACAAACAATGAGGATTAGATATTTATTTAGGATTATAAAGTTCATGACAGTTGTTTGAATTGTAGCAATTCCAACATAAACTAAACAAGCTTGTTCAATTGAAACAGTCATCAAGAAGCCATTGTAGGTGTGAAGAGAAGAATGGACCTATGCGCCTTTAAAAGCTCTTGTGCATTCCAAGGGGAAGCATGCCGTGTTATCTTCACTTAAACACTCATAGAATTCATGTAATATTGCTCCTAAAGATCTTTATAGGGGATTACAATGCCTCAGTAATTAACACATTTACTCTTTACAAAGTACTTGCGTATCAGCAGATTATCACACTGCACTCTCCGTTAAAGGATTACTTCATTTATATCATGTGAGAGAGAATAGGGAACCTCAAAGGCAGAAAGAAAAGGAAGTAAAACTGAAAGAATCCCAGGAAGTCCTCTAAAACAGTCAAAACTGAGAAAGCTGGACCAAAGGCTAAAATTTGAAACTATTCTAACCTCTCCTCATGTTGGAAATAAAAATGCCCATAAAACAATAATGATTAGAGCACTTGTCAAAAGCCATAAGCATATTCTCATCCCATAACGAGAATACAGGGTAGGGGCAAAGAGATGCCCTTGAATATGCATGCATCCCGTTCCAACCAAGTACACCAAGGAGCTGCTGAAACTACTCATTGCCTCATAAATTCGGCATCATTACACAGCTCACTCAATTATGTGTGCTTATGTTTATTTACTTTCATTCTTTTTTGTGTGCACACACATCTCCAAATTAGAGACAAACACACTGCTAATATGTTTATTCATGGATAGTATTTAGCGCCACTAAAGCAGAAATCAGAACAAACCTCATATATGCAATCGCCAATATATGCTAGAGATGCTGCATTGAATACAGATCTTGGCTTCACCACTTTAGGAGGACTCGGCAACCATCTCTCATATCCCAAGTAGGTTTCGTCTGGCTCTGCTGTATTCCCTGTTAAAAAAAAAAAAAAAAAAATTATCAAGCAAGCACTCACTGAATGCTTCAGCGTCTTTTAGATGAAAAATCACAAAAAGATACAAAATGAAACCGCAATGATGAAAAATTATAGCTAAATAGTAGATAAAAACTATTAAAGATAAAAACCTATTATGATAGAAGAATGTACTGATTCTTAAAATAAAGTCTTAATCTTTAAGCACGCGGGACTTTAAAGGAACCTGCAGTAAAAAAAGCATGCATGTTCTAATCCGGCACAATTTACATCATTCAAGCAATTTAACAACATAACTTTGTAAGTAAGGCACTTCCATTTTTGCAGAAAAAATTCCAAGCCAAGATAAAACAAACATCAACAGCCACTTTCCATAGCCAATTAAAATAGTTAGCCTATAAGTCGAAATTCTATAATAACAACTGAGTATAGGCCTTATTCGTCTTGTCCTTATTTTGTCATTTTACATTACATAGGAGAAATAAATCACATAAATTTAAATTCCCTTCTGATATCTCCCCGGTTCTTCAATCTTCGGATAGAGGACAAAGAATAAATAATACGGAATTAACCAAGATAACCAAATCAACAACAATTCACTTTCACGAAATACCTTCACTGGTATCAGGACTGTTGCGCTTCAGAAGGTCAGAAACGTACTTCTCCGTCCATGCTGTTGGAGAAGATGAACTGGAAGAAGGAGATGTTTTTAAAATTGGCGTCTGGCTGAGAGCGTTAGTGTTCTTCTTGATCTTTCTGGGAGCATTGGGATTATAAGGAAGCCTCTGTTCTGTGTCCCATGAAGCTTTCGTGCTCACAGAAGATACAGAGAGTGTCTGCATTTTATGGGTAGCATTGAAGAGATAGGACTTCTGTAGGTGTGAGGTAGTAGAATGGGACGCCATTTACAGGGAGCTCCAAGTTTCCACGAGCGCGAAGAAAGATAATTCTGCAGACAGCAGTGACGATAAAGTTTTTGTTTTGATTTTCCTAAAAGCGTCAAAAAATTGACTTTTTCATTTCTTATCATTACGGGCCCTATGACTTCGGATCAAAAGTTTGAGCCCAATACCAAATATAAACACCGGACTGGTTTAAGTTGAAATAGTATCCACCGAGGACGGCCCACGAGTTTTTTACCCCTTAAACCAATTTAATTTTAATCCGCTGTTGATATTAGGATTTTATTGATGAATAATTTATAAATATCTCTGTAAGTACTCTTTGATATTGAAAGCATATCCTGATTTTAATGAGTCTTCAAGATTCAACTCACTAAACCTTTTTTGTAAAAAAAAAAAAATTGAAATTTAACACTAAGATTGTATATGGTATTGAGAAATGTCATTCCTAAAAAGGAACCTATTCCTACAATTATGGTTATCAGGTGGAGCACAAAGTTTTAGCATGCCAAACACGCAATATAAAATTTCCCTTGTGAAGTATTCTATAGAGTTTAAAAAAGAAGTTCTACTATTTATAATTAATAAATACTCGTATTATATTTCTTAATATAAGATTTTGTTTGACTTTTATTTTAGTCCTAAATATAAGACTTAAATACATTTTGTTTATTATATTTATCTATTTTTTTCTAAGGTAGTCTTTGTAATAATAATAGTTCTAGCCAATACACTTTATTAATAAAGATATTTTAGAAAAAATAACATCTATTCATTACAAATAACTAACTTAACTAATTTTTTTAATCTCCTCAAATTAGTTAAGTCTTATATTAATGACCGGAAGTAGTAACTCACTAAAAATTTTATAGTGTACATATATACACTGGGAAAGTACTTGGTCTAAGAGTTAGAAATCAACCCCGCAGTCACTTGTTCCTGGATAAAAATACTCGCTAGTTACGTTAATCTAAGTTGACATGTTTTAGGCAAAAATTAATGTGTTAATCCTTTAAATTTTGGTTCATTTAAAACTTAACTCTTAAATTTTAATTTTGTACAAATTCAATTCCTCAATTCTTGACTCATCTAAAATTCAGTTTATAATCTTTCTATAGTTTGGGCTTTGTCTTTATCATTCATCACTTCTAGTCAACATTGAGCTATCATATATTGTGAAAAATGTTAACAATGTTGTTGAAATTTGTTACTCCTCCAGTCCTTAATATAAGACCTATTTAGCTAATTTGATTAGATTAAGGAAGTTAAGTAAGTTAATTAATTATAAGAAACATGACATGTTTTTTTTAAATATTATAATCATCTTTCTTAATATCCTCCCTCTCTCACTCACTTGATTATGGTTGAAGGAGTATCCATAGGGGTAATTTAGAAAAAATTAATAAATATAAAAAATAGGACTTATATTTATGATTAAAATTAACTTAACAATTAAGTTCTATATTAAGGACCGGAAGAATAATATACCTTTCAACTCAACTTTATGTGGATTTCACATAAAATAAAAGAAAATGATAGAATTTGAAACCAGCAAAACTTGAATGAAAGGAATGAAGAGACGAAAAGACGAATGAAGAAGATTAGAAGGTGACCACAAATCTGACCAACAGTAACAACTTGATTCTTGAAGGAGTTGAGAGAAGTATCCGCAATGAAGAGACTCAAGAATATGCTGCTTGAGTTCTGTGGATTATCAAGGGAACCAGGAGGGAGAATCCATCACCAAAAGGTTCCAAGCTTGCATGTCTCATGATGAGGGCATGAGTTGTGATTAACCAAGTTAGCTTTCATTTCATGGCATCACTCTGAAAAAATGATACACACGTTCTTTTTTCTATCTGAGACTTTTAAAACATTACCCGTTAACACTAGTTAACTACTACATTCGTTTCTTAATATAAAATTTTGTTTAATTTTTATTTTAATCATAAATATAAAACCTTAATCTATTTTATCATTTTTATATATATATTTTTTAAGGTAGTCCTTCTAACAATGATAATTCTAACCAATACACTTAATTAGCAAGGATATTTTAGGAAAGACAATACCTATTTATTACAGATAACTAACTCAACTTCTTTCCTTAATTTTTTTAGATTAGTCAACTAAATTTTATAATTAGGACTAACTAGTTCTTATAATTAGGACTGAAGTAATTAAGATCAAATTAATTCATCTTATAAGATTCAATTAATTACTTTATATATATAAGGTACGACATGAATTTGCTATGAGAACACTTGGACGCAGCAAATGTTCGAGAAAGGCTCATTTTTGTATACGTGTCTTCCATTCACTGGAGCGTGCACTCGTCTTCTCGGTTAGACAAGGTAGGTTTAGCTTCCCCCCGGCTAGAGAGAGGGGGAGGGGAGCGAGAGAGAGGCTGTAGCGGGGCAGGGGTTTCGCTTTGTTCGCCCTTCCTTCCCAGTGCTCCGGCACCTGCAACTTCTTCTGCACAGAGTAGCCGCGAATCGCATTCGTTATCAACGAAACATGAGTCGCTACGACAGTCGCTCTGGGGACCCTACTTCTTACCGTGACCGGAGAAGGTAAAACAGTGGCTTACCCCCGCGCTTAATTCTTTAATTTGTAGTTTCCATGTCCCGTTTTGGTCCCCCTCTTGTCCGGTAATATAATTAATCTCGGAAGCAGGCATACTGATTTCGTGTTTCAGTGAAAATATTTAATTTCTGCCTGCTATTTTCCCTATTCCGGCTAAATTTTGTTTCGTTCTACATGCCCATATAGCAATATTCTTACGTATATTAGTATATCTGACAAATAATTTCCGAAAGGAAAATTGATTCCGTTTTATTTTCAGAATGATCCTCTTTTGAGTTGAGCTACCTTTTTAGGGTTTGTACCCTGTGAAACATTAAGAACTCCCTCGAGAGTTCATGTTACCCTCACTGGCATCTGAAATGAATCATTTAATGGGTTAATCTTAGTTACATGTATGTTTAGAACTGTCATATGTGTGTGAGGCTCAACTTAATTAGGTGGGCTAATCTTAATTTCCTTACGTTTGAGCCAAGAGTTTTGCTAAGGAGCTCCATTTGTTTTCTTAGTGATTCGGGGCTGGGTGCTCCCACAGGTTACGGTGGTTCTGTCCACTCTTCCTCAAGCAGGAGGGATTACAATGACGGTGGATCCCCAAGGAAATTGAATTTGGATGGCCTGCCTCATTTTGAGAAGAATTTCTACATTGAGTCACCAGAGGTGAGGGCTATGACTGAGGCTGAAGTTAATGATTATCGGCAGAAGAGGGACATAACTGTTGAAGGTCGAGATGTCCCCAGACCAGTCAAAAGCTTTCACCTTGCTGGTTTCCCGGGTACCAAGTTTTTTTCCCCCCATTAACGTTCTGCCTTATTTAGCGTTGTGTGGAGGACTTTATTCTCCCTATTACTCGAAGTTTTGTCAATTCTTCTTTAGCTAGATGAATGGAAGACTTTATATGAGTGGTGCCACTTTACCTTTATATCTCAATTTTCTCTGTCTTTTTATCCCCTAAAATTTATTATATACCTTGGTTTGCCTCCCTCCCTCTCAATTTATTTCCCTTATGTAGTTTAAGCCATGCTTTGTTTTTTATGGTAGATTATTGACAACATCATCCGATGTGTTAATTTTTTGCAATGGAATTTATGTTTGATAACTGACAGAACTAGACTGTTGGAAAGTTGGTTAACTTATAGTTTACCGTGGAAAAAAGTTCCGTTTCATTATGGGATGATAACAGCATGCTTATTTTGCCAACTTGTTTAATCCAGAGTATGTTCTGCAAGAAATTACAAAAGCTGGTTTTGTTGAACCTACACCTATTCAATCTCAAGGATGGCCAATGGCTTTGAAGGGGCGTGATCTCATAGGAATAGCAGAAACTGGATCAGGGAAGACGCTTGCTTATTTATTGCCTGCAATCGTACATATTAATGCCCAGCCTATTCTAGGTAGGTGATTGAAATAATTGGAATGATCTGTTTCCTTTTTAGGGTGTAAACATTCCTTAACATGCCTCTGTCATCAACCTTGGTGTTATCATCTAATATTTCAATAACTCCTCGTTCAGAACCTGGAGATGGTCCAATTGTGTTAGTTTTGGCTCCAACTCGAGAACTTGCTGTCCAAATACAGCAAGAGGCTACTAAGTTTGGTGCATCATCTAGAATTAAGAGTACCTGCATATATGGTGGGGTACCTAAGGGACCTCAGGTGCGGGATCTCCAGAAAGGTAGGTGGTGAAGTAAGTATTGCTGACCCAAGACACGGGTTTATGATTTCTCTGGCTATAATGAAGTCATATGCTTTATTGTCATAATTGTGCATGTATTTATCCATTTTTTGGATCAGGTGTTGAAATTGTAATTGCTACTCCGGGAAGGCTGATTGACATGATTGAGTCAAATCATACAAACTTACGAAGAGTTACATACCTTGTATTGGATGAGGCTGATAGGATGTTGGACATGGGCTTTGAGCCTCAGCTACGGAAGATTGTTGCCCAGGTTGAGTTTGCACTGATATGCTATTAATACTTTGGAAAACTAAAATTTCAAGGAATGCAAGACCTGTGTATTTTGTATGCTGCTGTAGAATTGTTTGTTGTAGTCAAGTTGCTCTTCTTTGTACTTGATCCGCACACCATACTATTTTTGGTTCTTCCCATGTTACTGTTCTGTGATAAGTTTCATTTTGGAGATGCTTTAGACTTCATGAGAGATGGAGAGGCGGGGAGAGTACCCTGCTTGTCGTAAGTACTTTTTGGTCGTTAAAGAAGAACAAGTGGAAAGCATTCAGAACAAGTTGTCCATCATCAGATATAATGTCCCTGGTCCCCCTAATAGTCCATGTTAATCAATGAGCTTGATTGCTGATTCTTCTGGTTGGAATCTGTTTGTCTCCTGAGTATCTGATTGTGTTTTTGATTTATGCAGATTCGTCCAGACCGTCAAACGTTATGCTGGAGTGCTACCTGGCCGAAGGAGGTTGAGCAGCTGGCGAGGCAGTCCCTTTATAACCCATATAAAGTAAGATATTCTTACATTTGTAGATTTCATCAGTTTTTTTGGTCTCTGTTTTCCATATATTGAACTCCTTATGTTTTGATTTTACTGTACTAAGAAGTCATTCAATTTTGTTGTTAAATGATATTGTGTTATGTAAAAGGAACAAATATATTGAAAATTAAATTAATGACTTAATTACCATTACGCAGGTGATTATAGGTTCTCCAGATTTAAAAGCCAACCATGCAATACGTCAATATGTTGACATTGTTTCTGAAAAGCAGAAATACGACAAGTAGGTTATGTTCTATCTTATAGTTATTTCTTTTATCTCCTCCTTATATAAAGGAACCATGTGATGAAGTTAACTTCTTTATTTCCCAGATTGGTGAAGTTGCTGGAGGACATCATGGATGGCAGCCGAATACTGATATTCATGGATACTAAGAAAGGATGTGATCAGATCACTCGGCAGCTCCGCATGGATGGTTGGCCAGCACTTTCAATACATGGAGATAAAAGTCAGGCAGAAAGAGATTGGGTGCTGTCAGAGTTCAGATCTGGAAAGAGTCCTATTATGACTGCAACAGATGTTGCAGCTCGTGGCTTAGGTACAAAGACGTTCTACTCAAACATTTTGTTAACTCTCTTAATCTTCAAGTGGTGCTTTGATTCCAGCTGTGTCATGTGTCTGTAGTTTTGCTGAAGTAATAATATCGATATCTAATAAATTAATGTTGTTCTAGCTTTTCTGATTTTATATTTTAAATAAATGCTATTTTAGTTTTTTCTTGTCTTTCCCTTAACCATTTTCAAGGATTCAGTCTTGTGTCCTTTTATTGGCATATTATGACCCTTATAGTCACTACTTTTCAGCTCTTGTATATTTCTGCTTACGCAAGCAACTTGTTATTTATGCAACTGCCACTTGAAATGTCACTTTAATCTGACACCAATAACTATGCATCCTGATCCTTGTTATTGTTTGCATGTGGACATTTAACAGATGTGAAGGACGTGATGTATGTAATAAATTATGACTTCCCGGGATCTCTAGAGGACTATGTTCATCGCATTGGTCGGACTGGGAGAGCTGGCGCAAAGGGAACTGCATATACATTCTTTACTGCTGCAAATGCTAGATTTGCAAAGGAACTTATAGCCATACTTGAGGAAGCTGGACAGAAAGTGAGTCCTGAATTGGCAGCAATGGCACGTGGAGCACCTCCTCCTCCTTCAGGTTAGTTTGCTGCATCGGTTATGATTGAGCTTGCATTTTGCTTGTAACTATTCATGCATTGATTCCTGTTCCCCATTCTTTGGCTTCGGATGGGTCTAAGTTATAGCTGGAAGATATGGGACTTGTGCGTACAGTTCTGCATGCATTTCTCATTTGTAGCGTGTACTGTGGCTACTTCCGACAAAAGAGCTTTCCCCCCTAACTTTTTAATGTTCAATATTACCAGTTCATTTTTTTCCATCCATAATTACCGAGATGGATGATGAAATGAGTATAGAGATACGTGCCCATGTCGTTGGTAGTACAGTTCCAGGTCTAAACGTAAATCTACATATCACCTAGTCTAGGATCTGCAATTCTCATAGCACAGAAAGGTTCAAATCCGTTGAACAGATTACGGCGTTGGAATATATGGAGGCAATGTCATGAATCACTTGATCTGGCAAACTCCTCTTTTTGATGAATTTTTCATTTAAAAATATGTGGATTTAATAATCATATGCATAAATTGATATGTTACCTTGGTCTCAATCACTGACCAAAAATGGTAGCATCCGGAGGGAATTCTACTGAATTTCAGTTTAACTAAACCCATTTAAGAACATGATTGCTTTCTGTTGTGCAAGTATATGCTAGTCATTTCTGTTCACCTGAGTTTCTAATATCCTCCATTACATCTCTACCGCAATCAATCAGGTTATGGAGGTTTCCGTGGCAGAAGTTATGGCAGTCGCCCACTGAGATGATTGATGGAGGCGGATAGCAAGTGGACTGATGGAGTAACAAATGAATGCCTTGTTATCATGACTGATTCTACCTCCTTTTGTTTTTTTAATCCGAGTCTTGCACATGTGTATTTTATTTTTCTATGCCAATTTGTAAGAATATTAGAATAGTGGTAGAATTTTTTGAAGTTTTTGTTTTAAGAATCATAGAACATTTGGAGGAAAGCTTCGCTGTACGGCCAAACATCTGTTTATAGTTCATACCACAATCGTTGAGAATCCTGAGCCCTTCATGGTTTGCTTTCTTCGGACTCTGATATGATGGTCTGACTAGCAGAGAATGAAAGGATACCAAAAAAACTTTGACCTTTAATCTTGTCCATGAGTACCAACCTTCTAAAACTTTGAAGTGAACTAGCGTGACATATTTCTCATCTTTTATATTTTGTTTGAAGCAGGTAATATGTGTAACTTGGGTTTTTTTAAAAAAATTATTTCCGGCTTCCGTGTAACTTGGGTTAAAATTGCGTTTTTTTTTTAAACCAGAAGGTTAAAATTGCGTTTAATTTAATATAGTCGATAACAAAATTATTAAAGCTTTATCATATGATAAAACTATATATACTCCCTTAACGAACACATTTGTGGGCGTAGCATATGTTTCTGTAGCTGCCAGCTATTAGCAAGTTGGAGAGTAAGTGATTATTTGGGTTGGTTTAAATAAGTATTTATAACGAGGTAAATTTTTTTTTCATATATTTATTTTATATTTTATAAATAATGATTGAAAAGTTATTTATAAAGAGTATTTATAACGAGTTCTATCTGTATAGGAACGCGGGTGAGCGTTCGTGTTTATAATTGACTTATATTACCTCCCGTCCTTATTATAAGATTCTATTTGACTTTTTATTTGGTCCTAATTATAAAACCCCAATTCATTTTGTCTCTCATATTTATGCATTTTTTTTTTAAATAATCCTTCTAATAATGATAGTTCTAGCTAATATATTTAATTAACAAGGATATTTTAGGAATGACAACACTTATTTATTACAAATAACTAACTTAACTTACTTCCTTAATCTCCTCAAATAAATCAACTGGGTCTTATAATTAAGACCGGAGGTAGTATTTGTGTTGATATTGGTTTCATATTGACTAATTTTTCATCTAATTACTAAAAAGGTTTCGTAAAAAAATAATTTCGATGAAAATTAAAAATTAACAAATGGCGTCAACTCCGAGAATCAATTTGTTAGGGCGGAGAGGAATTCATTGAAAAAAACAGACGATAGAGAGGGAAAATTCAGTTCCGGAACCCGAAGCACGCTTAGTTGGGACTTCGGAGGCTCAGAGCAGTCGTGTATGGTGGAAAGGTGCTGTAGACATTAACGAAATGAGTGAAGAAGGAGAAGGTCCAAAGCTCTACGCCAACAAGCCTCGAAAAGGTCACATCATCGTTGTCTTTCTCATCGAGCAAATCTGTCTTTCTCCTCCACCTTTGTCTCTTTTTTCCTCCAAAATTTGTGAAAGCAATTTTCGATTATCTTATTTTGACTTCAAGTTGCTGATTTTGGGGTTTTAGTGTCTGATCATTGTTTTTCTCGTGTTGTTGAATACAGAGCAACTGAAGCAAGCTCGAGAGCAACAAAAAGCGAAGGCGTTCTCCTCGCCAATGTCGTCGTCTTCGTCCTCTGCGATGGGGACCCAGCAGCAGCAGCAGCAGCAGCCGCCGCCGCCCAAGGAATCGTTTGTTCGTCGTTACAAATTTGTCTTGCCCATGATTTTGGCCGTAAATCTTGCCGTCGGAGGTCATTTTCTTTCGCCCGAATGGTCAACTGCAAAAAATTTGTTTTCGAGTCTGCCATGATTGTAATTTTCATTTGTTAGTAATGCGGAAGTTAATGTAATGGGGTTTCTAGATATTATGCTAGAGATGATTAATCATTTCTTTATTGCTTGCTTTGATAATACCGTGTGCATGATTGGTTGTTGGGATAAAGGTGTTTTTTTACCTCCGATCTTAATTTTGAAATTTGTTTCCCATGTTTTTTTTTCTTTCTTTTAAATATGCATTGGATTGTTGTTTTAGTTACTGGATATTGTAGAAAAATCTAATTACTTGTGGCTAAATTTTCATCATAGGTGGTGTCCTTGGAATGCATGACTTCGCTGAATTAGTCGGAAGTGTAATTGAAAACTAGGACTTGGCATTGGACTGGTAATATGGGATATATCAGTGCTTGTATTTTGCTCCTTATACATGCTAAAAAGGGCCCCTGCATTAACGTTGTGATATTAGTTGAGGCAAGCAAATGTAGACCTTTTTTCTTCCTTAGTCTTGCAATTCTTACAAATCACTTTCTGGGGATGGTAATTGATGGATGACTTAGCGATTTATATATCACATATCAATATAACTTCGATGGAAGTATAAATGTTAATATCTTTGGTTGGTTTCATTTTGTTGTGTTTTCAATTGTGCATGAATTCATTGAGGATATCATATTGGGGGATTCTTTGTTCATTGTCTTGGAATGTTGCATCACCACCTGTGTGAATTGCTAATTTACGTTAATGTGTATTATCTTTTGTTTTGTGCGCGCGGGAGAGATGCTGATTTTCCGCTTTGGCTACTTTGACCTTTGCTTTTCAAGAAACATTCACTTCTGAGATGAGGATGAGCTGGTGAGGAATGAGATCATAAGTTAAAAAGGCATGGGATGGGATATACTAGTGTGACCAACTAATGAAATAAATCTTGATGCATCAGGCACAGGATGTGTGTCTTTCAAATGTTATTTCACAGTACTTACTCCATATCTTGTGGAATTGAGTAAATGGTTCGTGTGTCTATAAACTCCGCAAAAGGACCACAGCTGTAATTAATTTAGCCTTCACATATGAGTATAAATGCTACATAAGTAAATTTCCAAGATATAAGGCGTATACAAGACAGATTGACTGCATTATTTTGTACACAACAGCTGCCCAATTTTTTACTATTTGCTGAATTAGGACTGCAATAACAATTTATACTAATTTGGTTTCATTTAACAATATTTTTGGGGCTACATAGTCTGATAGGTTTTATGTGAATTTCAAATATTTAGCCTCAAATATCGTACCTAACATTACAGCTAATCAGCTTATTTGGCAAAAGTATTTGACAATTCTCTTTAATGTTTTCTTCTCTAACTGGACATATTCTCCCGTGCATTTCATGATATCTGAGGTGTCATACTGTGTCACGATTTGTGAATCATATGACTTGTTACAAATTTTATATTTTATATTCCTATATTGATTATAACTAAATACCAAATATACTATACTGCAGTTATTTGTCACCTTTTTTATTTTATGCGTTCTTCTGATCCCTATGTTAGTCTCTTTATTCTGTATTGAGCGACCTATTGACCTATATTGATTTGGTTGCTTGATGTTAGACTGACAGTTGTTTCAACTCTAGCTTATTTGTTTGTAAGGACGAAGAAGAAAGATATACCTGTGGAGGAGGAACAGCATGCGCCACCTGTTTCAACTAAAGATGCTACAACCCCTGCTGTGCAGACATCTGTGTCCCCACTGCCCATGACAGAGCAAGTGATCAGACGAGAGCCAATTCCAGAAAACCAGCAGCGTGAACTATTCAAGTGGATTTTAGAAGAGAAAAGAAAGGTCAAACCAAAAGATCCTGAAGAGAAGCGGAAACTTGATGAAGAGAAAGCTGTTCTGAAGCAGTTCATCCGGGCCAAGTCTATTCCACGCATCTAGGTGTTCATCACCTAAATGCCATGTTATTTGAATTCAAATGGGCTTGAATTGATTTTTCAACTCTTTCCTTTTCTGTTTTACTTGCTCCATTTTGCAGATATTGGCAATGGTCGATGTACAGATTCCCACTTTGTCTGATAACGTAATTTGCTCATGTATTGGACCATTGGCTTTCTAATTAGATCTTTTTTCAAGAAGTTGGCGGCAATTTGATGCATAATAGGTTGCTTGCTTGCTGCGCTGATAAATTACAATGGTAGATTCAGTAGTAACTCAATTGTAAGTAAATCGGCCTATTATTTCCATTTTTTTGCATCACTGGGTATCCTTAAAAGTTTAAGAACTTTTCAAAATAACTTAAGGTGAATCTGACGTTACTGAAATTCCCTTGGCATCAAATGTCGTGCCAGCATATGGCAAAATAACATCTTGCAGTAATTAGCTTCATCAATACACCTCCATTACAGAAATCCATGGCATTCTGTCTTTGCAGTATGGCAGCAACTTGTATCAAAGTCTTGAGGTCCTTGTCTGTTTTAACGGAGAGTGTATAATGTCACCCTAAAGCCACATTTTGGGTAGCTCAACTTCACCCTTAACCTGTTCAAAATTGTCTCGTCTTATATTTACTTAGGGAACTTACATTTAAAAGAAAAAAAAAATCTAAAAACAATCCTTGGGCGTTTTTCATGACGGTGAATAGGAGGAGTTCATGAATATTTGTCTCTAATATCACTGATTATTTCCAATTTCCCATGTTCATATTCTCTAGGTTGGAGCACTGAAACTAGAGACCCACATGGGTTTAGTAGTTTACTTAGTACAAGCATACACGTATGCAATTTCCAAAGTGGATGTGGACAATGGTCTGTGCAATGCTGACTGCTACGGTTCCCCTCAGCATGCAAACTTCCATTACTAGGCCAACCACCTCATACGTCATTCTCTTCCTCTTAAAACTTGCAGATTATGGTCCCAAGTTTCTCAAACTTCAGAGCATATGCAAATGAATCTGTGTTCCTTTGTGTATTCTTGTACATGTCGCATGTTAACTTAATAAAACATAATCCTCAAAATCAGTACTAGACCGCGCCGAATAGTCTCCATTTGCCATGATGATATTATAGTATGAAACACCGAATTCAGACGCTTAAACCTTAGTTAATTAAATTGCTTAATCCGTGGAATTAAAGCCAAGGTCATGAATTGAATTTAGCAATAGAAAACCCTAATAATCAAGAAATGGGCCAATGTGGAATTATTAATATCTTCTAAAAAAAAGTAAAGAAAACTGTGGGGACAACAATCAGAGGGAGATTTATAAAAGCTTAATCATAGTTACATGGGGTTACCTCTCCTTGGAAAATAAATGGTTTGCTTTTGATGAACATATGCTTGCTTTCCCGCACATTTGGCTCTCTTATTTGTGGTTGGACCATTTTAAAAGAATAAACAAACACTCAACTATATAGCTTTAACTAAGAATCGTTCAAATAATGAGAGATTAATATCAGAAAGAAGGAGACGCACATGCAGGCATTAGCTAAATTATAATAAGACTCGAGAGCTGATCCAGTTGTCAAGGAAATGATGACATCTCATTCCATCAACTTAGAGTTTGATTATTGAAAAGTAAAATTTTGAAGTATAAAATTGATTGATACGAAAGAATACGATTATAGAATTATTTCTTCTTCCCAAGAAAAAAACAACATGCATTTAGATTAAGTGATTTTAAGTCTTAATTGCTTTTAAGAATTAAAGTTAACTTTTGAATCTTTGAAAGAAGTCGTGACTTTCAAAATCTCTTAACCTAATTGCTTTGAAACATGGGTCCTTTTACGTAATTTTTCCAGAATTTTGGAGGAATGATGAGGAACAAGAAGAAGAAGATGATGATGATCATGGAGCAATGTGGTTAGTGTTGTTGAGCCTCACATGAAGCCACGAGGACTCCCAACTTCCAACCACGCCCCTTGCGAGCACTTCTCTAACTGCTTTGCTTTGCACATCAAAATGGGTGAGTCTTTTTATTCTGCTTTTTTAATTTTATGCACATAAATATGCATAGCAACAGGCCTACTTTAGCATATTTGTAGAGAATATGACCACCATCTGACTTGGATACAATTACAACTCCATTAAAACAAGATCACTTGAATTGATAGTTTTCATGTTTAATACCCGATAGTATTTTAAATAGGTTTCTTATAAAAAGATACTCTTTCCGTTTTTTATTATAAGAGACGAATAACCAAATTACGTTGATAAAAAAAGCAGTTAAAATTAGTTAAGAACAATCAATGTGTAAAAAAATATATTTTTTTTCCAAAAATGCCCTCATTAATGAGGAGAGAGAGCACGAGAGAACAATTAAATTATTGAAAGAAAGAGAAGTAGGAGGGAGAAAGAATGTGAGTTGGAGACAATAAATATGGGTAAAAGAGAAAATTAACACAAAAAAAGTAGAGACAACTTTTAAGTGTCTCTTATATATAGGAACATACTATAAGCATCAAATGTTTTTTATAATAAATAACGGATTGAGTATCTTTGTTTAATAGACAAATCATCTTATGAGCCCCCTTTTCCTCAATACAAACCCACTTGAAAGCGAATGAAGTCCAATCCACAACCTTCCACACGTAGGCGGACAGAATTCTGAATTTATAAATTAACCCTTCATAGTCACCGCCCAGAAAGAAAAATGCTGTCATCACAGAGTATTTGACTAATTCTTTTACTCAGTGAAACCCGAATTTGTCCAACCACTGACTGCATCTAAAGTAATTTGGCCAAAACCAGGGGCAAAAACAGAGGCATATTCCCACTTCATAGTATCCTATGGAACCTTTTGGTAGCATATTTACTATGTTTAGCCTCTTAGGTTCCTTTCTTGATTTCCATAAGCAGATACACATGATATATTTCCTCAGGGAAAAAAAAAAAAAAAGTTTCTTACGTGAACCGAAGCAGAGGTGAATTATTTATCAAATCAACTAATCAAGTAGTCTCCCTCAGCTCTCATTCAAGGGGTCTCTGTCTTGACCACCTTGGAAGTTGTGAGAGATAGTATTAAGGTACTAATATTATTCTCAAACCGACATTCCCAACCAGATTCTTAGGGGAAAAACATAGAAAGATGCTATAGTATTGACTCAGTGAATAGCAGTAAAAAAAATTAAGGTTTCGTTTCTACGAAGTATTAAAAATAAAAAGCAGAATTGAGATTAACATTGAGAAAATCTATTAGAAAAGTGTTTAGCATGAATAATTATTTATTACATAGATTAGATAAACCTATATATATGGAATTGAGAAATATTTAAGGAGAGATAGTATTTCCAATCTTACTTTTATAAGTTTGTCTAATCCTATATAATAAGCAATTATTTATACTAAATATTTTTTTAATAATTTTTGTTAATTACAATCTCAGTTCTTATTTTTTCTTTTTAATACTTCATAACGGACGGTACGTAATCTCTTCTTCTTGGCCATAGAGTAAAAAAACGGGAAGCCAATAATCCATGTCTGCTTCGCTCATTTTGCTTTTCTCAATGTATTAATTATATAAATATCCCGCCTAACACTGCAGGTTAGCTAGACCCCAAAATCTCTCTCTCTCTCTCTCACTTGCACGCCTGCACACGCATGCAAACTCATTCTTCCATTAAAAAATTGTGATTTGTGTGTCCAACACATGATTACTCGTATTTAAGCTAAATCTAGTCGTACCTTAGAGATACAGAAGACAGAACGAGCGTGCGTGCAGGGAAAGAACGATAATGGATTGTACTTGGATAGTGTTTATGACAGTATTTTTTCTCTGGTTCACTGTCATGCTCTACCATAACAGGTTTAAACTCAGATCAAAGTACAGATATCAGCTTCCTTCAGGCACTCTTGGTTGGCCTTTCATCGGAGAAACCATCGAGTTCGTCTCTTGTGCTTACTCTGATCGCCCTGAGAGCTTCATGGACAAACGACGCCGCATGTAAGCTTATTAGCAGATATCTGTAGTTCATGTCAGAGTAATTAATTCTCATGAGGTTTGATAAAGATAATATCTTTCTGGTTTTTGCAGTCACGGGAAAGTGTTCAAGTCACACATATTTGGGAGCCCCGCTATTGTTTCAACAGATGCAGAGGTTAACAAGTTTATTCTGCAAAGTGATGCGAAGCTTTTTGTTCCTTCATATCCAAAATCTCTCACTGTGTTGATGGGAGAGTCCTCTATTTTGCTCATAAATGGAAGCCTGCAGAGGAGAATACATGGACTGATTGGGTCTTTCTTCAAGTCCCACCACCTTAAAGCTCAAATCACCAGAGACATGCAACAGTATGTCCAAAAATCGATGGCAACTTGGAGGGACGACAGCCTCGTATACATACAAGATGAAACCAAAAACGTTTGTTCTGTTCCTCTCTCTCTCTCTCTCTCTGGTGTGTGTATGTCTGTCTATCTGATCTCTGTCTGTCTGCCTCTCTCCCCCACGTGTTGTTGGGGTTAGAGTCTATCTTCAAAGTTCAAAACTTTAGCCTTTACCCTCCAAGCTTACGGTGACCTCTTGAGAAGAGTTCTAACAGACACCCCCCCCCAAAAAAAAAAAATCAAAAGATTGTCCCCCTCTCCTCTTACCATTTTTCTTCTAAAGTTGTTCTGTGATAATCATCTTTGATTCTCTTTCTGTCATAATGTTCTTGCATGAGTAGTCGGGTGAAAGTAATTATTGGTGTTTGAGTTGTCTCTCTGGCTCGTATTTGAGTTTCAAGATGAAAGTGAAAATTACAGTTGTCTTTATGAAGAAGATCATAATCATTTTTCCATATAATGAGATTCTCAATCATGATGCCACACTACTTTTCTTTTTTAAAAGATCCCAACAAGTACTTTCTCTTTTCTGTCTCCCGCAGATTGCCTTTCAAGTACTAGTGAAGGCGTTGATTAGCTTGGATCCAGGTGAAGACATGCAGCTTCTGATGAAACATTTTCAAGAATTCATCTCAGGCCTCATGTCTTTACCCATAAATCTCCCAGGGACAAAACTTCATCAATCTTTACAGGCAAGTGTAGATATTACAAGATTAATTAAAAAGATTACTTCCCTTCTACTGTTTCATGGTTGACTAAAAAGGTTCTGGGTTTTTTTATTTTTTTGTTTTCCAGGCAAAGAAGAAAATGGTGAAACTTATCCAGAAGATTATCAGAGGAAAAAGGAAGAGTGGAATCTGTAAAGTTGCAAAAGATGTGGTGGATGTATTACTGAATGATGCAAGTGAGCAATTAACGGATGATTTAATAGCAGATAATATGATTGATATGATGATCCCAGGAGAGGACTCAGTGCCAGTTCTTATGACTCTAGCTGTCAAATATTTATCAGAATGCCCTCCTGCTTTGCAGCAATTAACGGTAAATCAGACCTTCATTTGCATAAACTCAAAATTTTAGGGATTTTATTGTAAAATTTTTAATATCAGAGAGCTTATCTGCATATAATAGGAAGCCAGGGAGTTATATATAATTTAAATCTGTTTAATTAAAAAAAATGAAAATTATATATTTTTTTTAAAAGTTAAGATGGATCCAGTACCCCCGAATATTTTTTGAGGTACAACCAGCATCCTAAAGTATTTTGTGGTGCATCCATTGCCCTGAAGTATTTTTTAAGAATCTAGCACCCTGAAGTAATTTTTTTGCCTGGGTGCTATATGCACCAAAAAATATTTTTGGGTGCTGGATGCACACAGAAAATTACTTTGAGATGCTAGATGTATCAAAAAAATACTTTACGGTGCTAGATGCACATAAAAAAATATTTCAGGATACTGGATGCACCACAAAATACTTTAGAGTGCTTGATGCACCTGAGAAAATACTTCGGGATGCTGGATGCACCTTAACCTTTTTTTAAATTAATATCATAATAAATGTATCATTTAATTGATACATTCAACATTTGAACTCTTACAAAGCTTTTCAAATGAAATAATTCTAATTTTCTATGTTGATAAAAGATGCCACTTGCCATTATTAATAATAAATTATATAAACTCCTTGTCAATTTTATTAAGATTGCATAGTATTCTCTTTTATTTTTAAGATATACACAAACTTTCTCTAACTAGAATGAAAGTATCCTATAAAACTGTTTTTCCTCTAGAGTATCTCTTGTTTAAAATTTTTTAAATATTACTTCTCTGATTCTTAATATAAGACCTATTTAACTAATTTGATTATATTAAGAAAGTTAGGTAAGTTAGTTAATTATAGGGTTAAGGTGCATCCGGTACCTCAAAGTATTTTCTCAGTGCAACCAGCATCCTAAAGTATTTTGTGATATATCCAGCACCCTGAAATATTTTTTAAGGCCACCTAGCACCTTGAAATATTTTTTTTGCCTAAGTGCTGGATGCACCAAAAAATATTTTTGGATGCTGAACGCACCTAAAAAAAATACTTTGAGATGCTAGATGCACACAAAAAATATTTTACAGTGCTAGATGCGCATAAAAAATTATTTTAGAGTATTGGATATATTACAAAATATTTTAGGGTGCTGGATGTACCTGAGAAAATACTTCAGGTGCTAGATGCACCTTAACTCTTAATTATATATAACATGTTTTTTCCTAAAATACCATAATTATCTTTCTTAATATCCTATCTCTCTTTTCTACTTGATTATAGTTGAGGGAGTATCCATAAGGATAATTTAGAAAAAAAAATTGATAAATATGAGAAATATGTCTTATTTTTAGAACCAAAATTAACCCAACAATTACGTCCTATATTATGGAGCGAAGGAGTAATAACTATATTTAGGCTAATCGAGAGTATTTTAATAAAATTAATATATAATATTAAAGTATATGATGACTTTCTAGAAGAAACTTTTATGTTTTAAAATGATTTCTAATCAACCTCACCACTGTTCATTTGGTTAGTGATTACGTTTGGACTTTGCATAAGTTTAAAAGTAGGATAAATTTCTTTGTTATTTACAAAGTAATATTATTTAACCTTAATTTTATTGAGTTATTTGTTTTTAATTCCTAATTTTGCTGTATGTTTTAATTCGTATAATAAAATCATCTGAGCCATAAAGCTTATCTCAAATTTTATGCAACACACTTAATTTGGCATAAATACCCCATAAGAGGCAATTAGAGCTTATCTTTATATGATAGGGCCAACATCACACTCATCCAAACTTGATGTAATCCACGTTATTGCAAAATCCATTCCATTATTTCCACATGATACATTGCTTTTGAATTGTCTTTGTCTAGGTATAAGGATAAGTCACTTGTCATTATCTTTTAATTCGTTTCATTGTTTTACCCAATACACAACCTGGCTTCCCATGAGTCGTGCTCTTAGAAAAATATTCTCTTTTTATTGTGAGAAAATCAAAGCTTTATAGTAACATTTTTACTTTATTCTTTTTTATTAATATCTCTTTAGAGACAGTTCACATGCAACCCATTTGTTGTTTTCTTTTTCTATTCTTCATTTCATACTATATCACATGAAAGATCTGTAACATCTTGATTAGACTTTTATATATGATTTTCAATTTTAATTTGAATGTATCACAGGAAGAAAACATGAAACTTAAGAAGCTCAAAGATCAGCTTGGAGAACCCTTAGCTTGGAGCGAGTACTTATCATCATTACCATTTACCCAAACAGTAAGACATGTTTTTTTCTAATTTTATTTATAAGACATTTTTAATATGTTTTATTGGAATCTAGAAAAATCTTAAATCTTATTAACTATATCTTTAAAATTTAATGACTCTTTAACTCTATCCTTATCTAATACTCCCTTAGATCCTAAATATAATGTCATTTTTGTAATGTAAATACACTACAAAAAGGATATTATATTTAGGACCTGAGGAGTATATACTCGTTGTCATGAATAATAAATGAAGGGTACAACTATATATTGTAAAAAATTTGGTAGTGTGACTAAATGGGAAAAAACACGCACTCTCTTGACTTTGTAAATAGAACCAAACTCATCAAAAACTGTGTCTAAAAAAGAACATATTGTTCTCCAATCTGGCAATCTCCATGAATTTGCATAAAATCTAAGATGAGACGCACTGTTCACAACTCTCTGTACTTTTACGCAGGTGATTACAGAAACTTTAAGGATAGGGAATATTATAATTGGGGTGATGAGAAAGGCTATGAAAGATGTTGAGATCAAAGGAAATTTGATACCAAAAGGGTGGTGTGCTTTTGCATATTTCAGATCTGTTCATTTAGATGACCAAAACTATGACTCTCCTTACCAATTCAATCCCTGGAGATGGCAAGTAAGCAACACACATTCTTCTTCTTTCTAAAGTTCTAAACCATATTGTTTTTAATACTGGTTTGATTAAACCAGTCTACCACCAACTTTTGAATTACGAGATCAAATCGAAATTTTAACTGATGAAATGGCTGTTTAATAACAGGACAAAGATATTAGCAGTTGCAATTTCACAGCTTTTGGAGGAGGACAAAGGCTATGCCCAGGTGTTGACTTGGCCAGGCTTGAAGCTTCCATCTTCCTCCACCAACTGGTTACTCAATTCAGGTGATAATTCTTCACTTTTTGGTCGGTGACTATGGTCACTCTTTATTACTCTCTCCTCATTCCAAACTGGGATTCTCTACCTTCATTAAAGATTGCTTGAATATAGAACATTTTTGGTTTTATTTTGGAAACTACTAAAACTTTGGTTTCAGTGGTTTTCAATGTAAAATTAAACATGCTCGTAGTGTATTTGGACGGAAATACAGAAAGAAAGAAATAATTACATAAATACAAAGGATCTGATCTAGCTCCATAGCAGCAAAAGCAAAATCACAAGGCATAAAACTTTCTGATTGGGGGGGAGGGGGAAGAAAGTAAAAGTTAATGGGACCAGAGAAAGCTCTACACGTTCCATCAGATTAGAGAAAGGAAAAAACCCATCTGATTCTGATCTTTTCTGGTGAATTATTCGTATCAAAGTGACAGGTTATCTTAACTGTGATGAATCAAACTATGATGCTTTGTGAAACTGAAACTCACCGAGCTGTCAGTCCACGTGAATTCTGACTCACCAAGCTGTAGGATTTTGAACCATCTTGCCATTCACGAGAAATTTTTAAGGTGAAGTTAATAAAATACACTAAGTTAGTCATATAAAAATAGTCGAGCGCATTATATCTCCTTAAGAGAAGAGGGGAAAAAACAAAGCAGTACCTCTCATATTTACCAATATTTGTAAATTGAATATACCTAATAAGTTTTGTCACTGGTAACCACTCACTTATAGAAAGGTATATCAAAAGAACAAAAAGTTTGACCGGTCAAGTGTCCCAAATCTTAGTGTTTGTCTTCTTGCTCATGATGCAAGTGGCTGTTCACAATCTCCAAGCAGCCATTAACATTAAAAAAGAAAAGTTGCTGACATATAAAACTGAAGCGACCTACGGTCCATTAGAGACAGCTGTTGAGAAGACACAGGATATTACTACTACTACTACTTTAGTTCCAGAAATTAAATCCATTCGACCTGCGTCTACTGTATAAAACTGTTCTTTCCTACCTTTTTCTCACCTAGAAGTCGGTTGTTTTCATATCTTATAGCACATTCTTCCATTAAGATCTGGCCTTACAAATGGAAAAAAAAAAAAGATACTCCGAGGTAGTGATCTTAGTCAAAATTGGGTTGATTAGGTCGACAAAAAGCACTTGGAAAATTAGTCAAACCGCCTAAAGCTAGGGATCTGTTAGGTCTACATATATATAATATACTATCTTATATAAATAGTGCTTAGTTTCTTCTTTCCGCTTTAAGCCTTTAACATATCTGATACATACAGTACCTTGCTTTGAATAGCTTGTTATAAACAAGGATATTTGGGTTGTTGGGATTAGTCTTTTTTGTATAGGGATTACAACAGAGAAGCTAAAACCATAGCCAAATGAGCTTTGAATTCCGGTTGTTTTTGTCACACCTATGATCAATCCCCACCTTTTATGAGAGAGGCGGGTAATGATGATAGGTATAGGATAATGGGTGGCTTTTTTCTTTTGGTATCTTTTTCTTGTTCTTTGTAATTACTACTGTTGCAGCTAGTAATCCTTCTGATATTGAGTAGTATGTAGTTCCTGTTTACATTCAGAAAAATAAAGATAAAATATTTGTGTATGAATAGTTTGAGTCTCTTAGATAGTCTCAAAAAGTTAAATGTTTCACATGCAGATGGTTTGCCGAAGAAGACGCAATTGTGAACTTCCCTACAGTGAGAATGAAGAGGAGAATGCCAATATGGGTTAAAAGAGTGGAATTTTGAGGTGCTTTTGGTCAAAAAAGATCATTATGAAGTAACTTATTCAAAACTGGCACAGTACAAGAAACAGTAATATGAAGAAGAAGGAGGAGGAGAAGAAGAAAAGGACAACTGCAGAGAGAGAAGTGGACAAAGAAGGAAGGGTGGGCTTATGTGAATGAACACACGTGTGGGAAGATTCATTAAGCCCAATGAATTTGTCCCCCTCCTACTTAAGACAATTTAAACAATAATTAATTAAAAATAAAGGGCAAAATTTTCATCTTTTGTTGGGCCCACCAATTTTAGGATTTTACTTTTAAGTTTTAACCCAGTCTTCTTTTCAATTTTACCTTACAAGTATATGCATAGAGGCAATGAAAAAGGCTGATTGCAAGGGGAATCACCCTCATCTTGTTTCTAATCAAAGCTTCTCTCTTCCTCATTTCTCTTCACACTTTTTTGTACTTTTATTCTCTCTTGTTTTTTTTTTAATCTTTTGGGGTGAGGATAGAGGGTATGGACAATCATAGTTGATGGGTCCCATAATATAATGACAATCATAAGGCCACTTGGGAGAAGTTCATATTAAATTAAACTCTGCATTATTTGCACTATATAGTTCAGGATTATTGAATTAGCGAGTTAGCTAGGAAATAGACCCACCCATCGGTTTGGTCCATTAAGCAGTGCCATCATATGCATTTGAGACTCTGGGTCCTTCATTCTTTAACTAAATATGAAATTCACAAATTTAAAATTGATAAACAATTCAGTTTATATATATATATATATATATATATATATATGGGTCTGTATATAAACTAGCGTTTATATTAAGAATTCGAGATTCTGAGTCCTTCAAATGTAGCTTATATTTGAGATTTTAGGTCCTTCATTCTTTGACTAAATATGAAATTCATAAATTTAAAATTGATAGAAAAATTAGTTTATGATACATATATGTAGGTATGTATATAACTGGCATTTATATTAAGGACTCGAGATAACATTATCATATATTTTATTTCCCCATATATATATATATATATATATATATATGCGTATACTAAAATCAGGGTGGAAAAGTGGCGGGGTCATTGTATATTAGTACTACTATATAGTTCAAGCTAAGGCGCTGCCTTCACTTGGTCAAAGGACAGACACATTTTGACATGATTTTTATTCGGTTTTTGTTGATCTAACTTTCACTTTAACCTATTTTTTAGGCTTTTGTTGGCCCCATAATTCATGGATAATAACAAAAGTTCATTTTGTAATAAAATGATATCTCTCTATTATGATTCCTGGAAGAAATGAGATCCTCCACAAGGAGTTTGAAGTCATTTTGAAGAATAATTTTTCCAAGTTTTAGATTTGGGCCTTTTTAGAATGACTAGCTTCTCATTAAAATAAAAGATTAAGATGCATCTAACATTCTGAAATATTTTTTCAGTGTATCCAGTACTCCGAAGTATTTTGTGGTATATTCGGTATCCTGAAGTATTTTTCAGATACATTCAGTACGTTGAAGTTTTTTTTTTAACCTTGATGCTAGATGCACCAAAAAATATTTTGGTTGTTGGACGCATCTTAGAAAAATACTTAGGGTGTTGGATGCATTAAAAAATGCTTCAAAGTACTGGACGTATTTAAAAAATATTTCAGGATATTAGATGCACTACAAAATACTATAGAATGTTGAGTGTACCTTAATCCTAAAATAAATAATCAAATAAATAAAAAGGCCATGAATCCAGCTCACGTTTGCATTTCTACTCAATGCATATATTAGCTTTTCAAATTCTGTCCCAAAGGAAATGCTTTTAGTTATGGGCCAAATTTTCAATACAGATTATATTAATATAACATTTTACAATTCAATTTCTTTTGGGCATAAGAAGCATCCGTTTGATTTATTTATTTTTTAATTTGATGTAAGAAGCAACGTTCTCTTCAATAAAAATAAATAAATATGGCATAGGATTGTATATGATTTAAAAGTCAAATAGAAACATCTTTTTATAGGTAGAAACAGATACACTAAGGCATTAGGTAAAAAATTTAACATCTTTTAGTATGATTAAGTATGTTTCTGTCTACAAACCTTGACTTCATGTGATTTTTTTATGTATCTTTTGTATAGGAAGTTTTTTTTTTTGTTTCTATATAGTTTTTTAGCTACTATTTTTACATTCCTTCAAGAAATAACAAATAAAAAAAATGACATATGAACAGCATGTGAATAACTAGAATGGCTTAATTTATTAACTATATTGTCTATAATTGGATTTTTGTAGCTCAATTAACACCAAACACTTTTCTTAAACTTTTTACAAGTATAAGATTGTGATTTCAAGCTCGTAGGAAAGGATATAATAAATATGTAAGTTATGGAAAAAAATATAAAATCCACATTTATTTTTTTGTTAATAAAAAATCCACATTTATGATGTATTGCGTTACACCTATTTGAGAATCAAAGGCAAAATATTGTTGGGCCTATGAAGATGAAGAATAGGCAAGTTCTATGGACTATAGAGTTTGAAATGGGCTAAAATCTTTTGACTTTCTCTCGTCTTCCTATTTCACTCACCGGTTATTTACTCCTCTAATTTTAAATATAAAACACATTTTATAATGTAATTTATATTATATTTAACCAATACACGTTGACACAAATGGATGAGAGTCTGTGTCCCTTAATCATCTCTCCCAGGTTGTATTCCGCTAGGGGAGGGAATGGAATTGGGGTACTTGGGACTTGGGAGGGTAGCCCCCATAATTGGGCCTCTACAAGTCTCAAGAGATTAGTCTTCTAATGTTTCAGTGGAAGGATACTCTGATGTTTCACAAAAAAAAAAAAAAAATAAAACCAGAAGAGCACTTTGGTTTGTCAAGGCAAATAGGCACCTCAAAAGGTGGGATAGGTGGTTAGGAGATTTAACACTTTCCATACTCAAATGGAGATCCAACCCCAGCCTTGGTTAAAGAAGAATGAGCCCCTATTGCTCAATCACACGTCCCTGGTTACCCTTTAATTCTTTTATATAACATAACTGTATTGTTATTAATTTATTTATATGCAAAAATGTTCCCATTGAATCGGTTCATGTCACCGATTTAACAATTACATAAATGAACAAACTAATTATAAAACCGGGGCCAAATTGCGGACCGAAACATTGATTCCCTTAAATAGGGTTTTTAACTTTTTATTTTCAAACCAAAATTCGCTTCAACTTTCACTCAATTTCAATTGCAATTTGCAAATGATGTCACATAACCAATTGGAGTATTGCGGTAGTGGAAACTTAAGAATGCGGAAAGTATAATAAAACAACAGAAAATTGTGTGGCAAAATGAAGAAAAAAAAACAGAAATTGTACTAAGGTGCCACTCAAAAAAATTAAATGTTAAAAGGTTCTTTAAAATTATTAAATTAATTTGAAGTGTCAAGAAATTTTATTGCAAGAATTTTACTTGTCTAATTACTTAAATGCTCTCATCTTTTTTCTTAATATGCATTGATAATTAACAACTATCGCGTTAGGATTATTAATTAAGTGGTTAATGAGTGTTTTTTTTAGTTGTTAATATATATTTTAAAAAAAAGATGAGAGTAATTTAGTAATTGAATGAGTAGAACTTCTCGTGATGATATTTATTAGGATTTCAAATTAATTTGATAATTTTAAAAAATTCTTTTGCATTTAATTTTCACGAATGATTTTACATTTTAGTGTAATTTTTCCTAAAACAATCGTAAATTTTAAGCCCTAACCCCAAGTCGGGAGCCGCTGCAGGAGTCAGAGCAGCATCAAATTATCAATTGACTTGGCTCTGATCTCTGAAACGAGCCGTATAGGCAATCCGCTGCACAAACCCAAGTTCCGAAGGTGCGACTCTGTGAGGGGACCTCACAACTTGCCAGCCCTTGCACAAAGTTGTTGATTCTTCCTCCCATCTTCGCCTGCGATTACGTTTATCTTTATCTGTTCGTCTCTCCTCTTCTTCGCTGTGCAATCGGAGAAACTCTTTTCTGACGCTAAACCTAACCTTCAAGGTTTAGAACTCTCCTTCACTTGCTCACTTTAGATTTCAATAAAAACGCGCGGACTTGGGTTCTGTGTAATATTATTCATTGATTGCGTTAGTTTCGCTTTGCATATACAATTTGGATTTTTGCTTTGATTCGTATGTCCTCTTGTGAGTTGTTGTGCCTCTTTTTTTTTTCCTTCCAAAAAAAAAAAAAATATTAGAATTCATATGTCCTCCGGTCAGTGAAGCCTAATGTTTTAATTCAAGCGTGTGGTTACATAACCTTCATGTTCAACGGTCGTTCTCTGATAGACTCTAATGTTTCTGTGAATTTCATTCCTTAGTTATTACAAGTTAATGTTCATGTTATTATATGTTTCTGTCATTTCAGGTAACCTCAAATGTCTGGAAGGAACCGTGGTCCCCGAGAACCAATCAATGATCGGCGGGGCTACCCACCTGAACGGCTCTTCATTCCAGGGCCTCCGTTGCCTCGCCCTCCTATGCCGCCTCATCCAGCTCTATTGGAAGAGGAACTTGAAATGCAGCACACAGAAATCCGGAGGTTAGTGTTAGAGAACCGAAGGCTGATTGAGGACCGAATGGTATTTCAGCGGGACCTTGCAGCTACAAAAGAGGAACTTCATAGGATGAACCTTGCCATTGCCGAAATTCATGCAGAACGAGATCTGCATGCAAGGGAATTTAATGAGAAAAGACAGAAGTTGGAATCTGATATTCGGGCAACCAAGCCCTTGAAGAATGAGGCTGTACAATTGCGAGCTGAAGTGCAGCAACTTAAGAATGTTAACAAGGATCTTGAAGCGAAGGTTCAGACACTTACCCAAGATCTTCTGAGGTTACAAGCTGATAATCAACAAATTCCTATGTTGAAGGCTGACATCGATGGAATACATCAAGAGCTTATGCGTGCTAGGTGTGTGGTTTAATTGCTGATGGGATTTTATTTTCTGTCCATGTGTCCTTTTGTGGTATATTTTACTGCAAGTCTAATTAAGTTATAACAAGGAAATTTTTGTTTTCTAGATCCATGGTTGATTATGAAAAGAAGGAAACATAGAGATGATGGAACAAAGACAGGCAATGGAGAAAAATTTGGTCTCCATGGCTCGGGAAGTTGAGAAATTACGTGCTGAGTTAGCTAGTTCCAATGGCAGACATGGGGTGCTGGTGAGATTTGCTTCTACTCTATCATTCCGTAACTTCTTTCTTTTGCTGCACTTTGATGATCCTCTGCTAGATACATGCTTGCTGTGTATTACTTGGTAAAATTGGTTGTAGGAAGAATTATCTTTTGTTCCTTTGCTCTTGCAGTGAAAAGATATTCTATTATCCCAAGTTGTAAATTGTTAAGGGAAACTAGAAGGAGCTAGGACAACATGTAGTATAAAAGTTGTATGCAGTAAGAGAATAAGTAGAGAGGGGTGGCGGGGAGAGCACTGCGTAATGTCTGGGATGATTGGATACTCATCTACTGTGAACTATGAAGACCCAAAAAGATGCACATCACTAGTACTGCTGAAGCGTTAAATTATAACCCTGGAAACTAAAACCATTGATCATAAATAAATAAACACCCCTAACCTATGATCATACGTAGTGTAGAGAAATTATTTTTTATTTTATTGTCCATTATGTTTTTAATTAAAAATTATGCTTCATCATGTGTCAAGTGGGACCTACGGGACTAAGTTTGGCAGCCCTGAGGGAAGTTTTCCAGCTCCATATCCCGATGGATATGGTGTTCATATGGTATGTTCTGTTCTAAATTATGATTTAGATTCCCCCCTTTATAAGTTTGCGGATTTCATGATATGTATGTGCTGCTTTATAGGGAGGTGCTTCATGGGGACATCATGAGAAGGCTCGCATGAATCGTCGTTGAGATTGTAGGATCGCTGTTGGAGATGAAGAACAGCTTCCTCCATTACTCTGCTTTGTGTTGGGGGAATGGCTGAAACAACTTAGCAAGTCCTTCTATGTTCACATCACTGGTCATTTATCTGGATATATTGTTAGTTCTAAACTGAATACATAGGTTTTAGCGTTCCTTTGCTTTTACCATAATGTTTATCTTGCTGCAATATATCTGAAATGATACTGTATTATGATGGATTTCTTTAATCTTATCTGTCTTTTTATTGGGTTTGTATTTTATTATTTGCATCATTATCTCTCTCTCTCTCTCTCTCTCAACACTTTCCCTCAATATATTCAGTTATAATTCTTTCATTTGGGTTTAAGTCTTCACATCCTGATGGGCCCCTGGAACAGGAAAGTAACATAAGTGTAAGGAGGTGCCATTAATCCTGTGGGCTGAATCATGTGGCCGAAGTTCAATGTTTGACAAGTTTGTCATGCTTGCTGAGCGGTATTAGAAGACTCTATATAGATATTTTTGTTTGTACTCTTGTTGTCAATACTTTCTGTTGAAGTCCTGCCATTGCAGTTTATCTTCTTGTCAATACTTTCTGTTGAAGTCCTGCCATTGCAGTTTAATGAGCAGTTATGGTCATGAAAAGATTATGAAAAGGGTCATTTTGGTGCTAGTACTTTCATATGGAGTGTTTGATAGTTGGAAGAACATCTCTTAGTGATGCAATTACTATCTGTAGAGTATTGGTGGAAAAAATCATTTTAGGCCATGCTTTCTGGTTAGCTAAACTAAATTAAGCAAGTTGTTAGATTTTTGACACAGATTGTGGAGCATGTTGTAAGATAGGTTAGGATGATAGATTAACATGCATATCCAACTATTTTGGAATCAGATGGATTTATGATCACCTAACCCCCAGTGCTGAGTTTTTTGTGACTGGTGGGTATCATTTGACAATTACATTCATGCTCCTACAACTGGCAAGGGAGGCGTTAAACATGCAAGTTATATGGAGAGATCAGGTGTTTCAATGACTTTATGATGCGTATATCTTTTGGTCTCTATATGTAAGGTGTAAATTTCTTGGAGAAAAGTTGTGGGCTTTTCAATGCAGATTTATGTTTTAGGGTACATCGATTGGTTTTGGAGAGATATTTGTATTTGCGGTGGTCACAGTCATTTTTAGAGTTAATTTGAACATAAAATATGTTTAGGTTCCAAAATATATAATTGCTCTTTGTTCCTTATTCTCCCTGCTATGCTGCCAATGGTAACTAAAGCTTTTTGCTGGCGTGGGCCGTGGGGCATGTATGTTGCTTTGGGATCGAAGTGTTAAGTGGTGTTATTGGTGGCTTTCAGTTGAAGTGCTGTTTTTCTGTAGTTATTGAGCAATGCGGTATTCTGTAATGTTGCTCCATCAATTGAGGGTAACCAGAATTTTGATGGAGAAGCTACAGGTTCACGGTATTTTGAGCTTCTGTTTGGTCTTTCCATCAGACACAATGTTGAATTTGATCTTGGAGGCTGTACATTGGTAAACAGTGGATTGAGATTGCTATAAGTGATGAACTATAGTTTTGGTTGGGAAGCTGGTTTCTTGAAAATGTCATGTTTTACCAATCACAATGGTATTCTTATGAACAATTCACTTGAAGTTGATCACTAATTGGTTGATTTGAGAGTGATTGTAAGCTGGGATGCCTGATGTGACAGATTAAGTGGGATGTTATTAGTTTTATCACCTAATCAGTTTTGAAGGAGAAAAACAACCCTTGTATAGTTTTTATCTCTCATACTGTTACAAAGCATCTCATACTTCATATTGTATGAGCTGCTGATGTTTCATCAGTGAAGACTCTCCTTGACTCGCAAGTTCCCCACATGTTGCTAGTAACACTGGAATATCAAAGAAAGGATTGTGGACCAGCTGTATGTCAAGGCCAGCAGCTCATTTGAAGCTCATAGGCAAGTATTCTGCTCCTCTTTAGTGGCCTGAATGATGTAACAAATAGACTTTACTGTGTTACCCTGTTGATTGCCTTCATGTAAGGTTTAGCAACTAGCATGTTGCTTAGTCTTAACCTGAATTGGGTTTATGGGATTGATCATCTTCGCATTTTGCTTCTAGTGCTTTCCTATAACCTTGAACTTGCTTTAGTCGTAAGGAATCTGTAATTGTAATTTTACAAGAACAAGTTGTCTAAAGTTAATTGAGACCTTTGATTTGATGATCTATTAGAATCTGAAACTTTCCGTTGCTGGCTATGAGATGGCCAATCTTTATTGCTGTGCAGTAAAGCCGGCTTTAGGAATAGCAGTTTATCCTTTGCTTGTTAGGATAACATGAGATCTTGTTGGATTTTTAACACGTGCATTTAGAACCCTGTAAGTATCTGAAGTTCTTTCTTATTGTGCAAGAAAGCCGACTGTAGGACTAGCAACCCATCATTTGCTTGTTAGGATGACATGAGATCTTGTTGGATTCTTAAGTAACACATCATGCATTGAGACCCCTATAAGTATATGAAGTTTTTCCATTGCTGGCTATGAGATTGCCATTATTTGTTATTGTACAGGAGAGCCAAGGAATAGCAGCCTATTTCTTGTTTGTGAGGATAAATGTGAGATCCTGTTGGATTCTTAGTACATTATACCCTTAGATCCCTATCCAAGTTTTCTGGACTCTTGATGGTTTTCCTAGCACCATAATAAAGGATTTATCTTTTATCATTTAGAGTATGTTCAAACTTTGAATTATCTGGTACTGATGGAAAATTCTGATATTAGCGTAATGGGCCACTTGTTTGCACTACGTGGTTCTGTTTCTTGTTTCAATGCCACTGTCCTATTTCTGTTGAGAATTAAGTGAAGTATTTTGGAAATAACTGCAAAGGCTGTGTAGCAGCTGCTAGACTTTGTTGCTGTTTAGTTGGAGCATTCTGGATAATTGTAGGACGACCAAACTTCACATACAATTTTGGTCCCATTGTTTGTCTTGTTGATATGGCAAGAGGAGGTCAACAATTGATTTGTGTATACCTGACAATCTATGTTCTCCAGTGAGATGTTAAAATGCTTGCTTGCTTATGGATCTTGTGACCACCTGGTCAGCTTTGATGCATTAGAAGCTTGGATTGAATTTGTTTCCAGTGATGGGTTACTGCACTAGTTGGTTTTTCCCCCCTCTTTGGTGAATTATATGTGGCCAAATTTGGAGACTAACCTGATGAAAAGAATTAAGCCAGGACGCCAGAGGGTAAAGGAGCGATGGAGTATTCTGGGGCTTGCTCATGTAGTTTTAGGTTTTAAAGCTGTCTCTTCTGCGCTTCTAGCTATCTCAAACTTGAATTCTATGACTCCAAATATCAGATTTCTCAGATGTTAATCTGACTGTCAGTCAATGCCACCTAAATTAGAAAATACCAGGTGCCTACTTAGGCAATTGATTACATATGAATCTTTTGAAGAGTTAATAAATAAGAGTGATGGATGCCTTAGGGCTGGGGAGCAGAAGTTAAATAAGTTTGTTGGAATACTAGTTCTCGTGAATGTGTAGAAGTTTGCTTCACTTGTTATAGAAATGATCGCTGTATGTTTTTTTCTTTCTTTATGGTGCTATTTCTATTGAATATATTCATGGCATTGTAACTCATCTTTCCACTCTTTTTTTTTTTTTAATACTAATCTGTCCACTCTTTCAGGTTTGGTTCTTCATGGAATTTTTCCATAGAACTATCTGTACCATAACATATTCAATTGCCTGCCTTGTATGTTTATCTAATATTTGTTTAACATGGTTGCAGATTGGACGCTTGGAATCTTGTCAATGCTGGTGATCTAGAAGAGGAAAAAGAAATGCCTGTCTTTGACGCTAATGTGGGAGATAGATCTCTGGGAAGACCAAAAGGCTTTTGATTTCTTTTTTTGCCGGGTTAGCAAAATCTGAAGATGCTTATTCTGGGATGAAGATTTGTCAACACCCTTAGAAGGGTTTGGTTGCTTTGCCTGGTGGTGAGGGAGTTGTGTAGACAAAATAACATGGGAAGATCACATGGGAATTTATTGTTTCAAGGAGCGTATTCCGACCATGTTTGTTTGGGGATGAAGATTCTTCGGCCATATAATTCAAAGCATATTTTGCCTGAGTGGGGAATGGTGAGGAATCCTTGGTAAAGAGTAAATTGAGGAAAAACGTAAAGTTCACTGTTTGCACGGGGAAAAAATCCAATGGTTACTTGTTGGGGGATGAAGATTGGTCCGTCATTTGGCGTTGGTTTCATATCCTGTTTAATAGTGCTATGCGATTATCAGAAGTGAAACACTACAAAGGAGTGTGCTCCTATTGTGAAACAGACAAATTATACTTTTTTTTCCATCACATGTTCATTTCCACCTTAAAGGGAGACACTACGAAAGGGTATGCTCGTATTCTGACTGTTGCAGGAGGATACATCTCGAGGGAAGTTCCAGCAAAATTGAGTTTCGTATCTTCTAGCCTTTTTTAAGGGCAGCATTCGTATTTTATTTATTATAAGACTGGAGTCCTTTTGTTTGCCCAACTACTCGTTTTGTTCATTTAGA